TACTCGTTAAAATCGGCGACAAGAATTTCTAGAGACAATCACTAATTGAGGAAGACGATGGCGGAAGGGAGGGTTACTACGCCGACTTGCTACTATTGATTAGGGAAGCTATATACAATCATTAACTATAGAGTCGATTGTTGAGATGGAAGAGGAAGAAGCAGAAATGGTGAGAGATCATGATGATGATGATGATGGTGGTGGATACGGATGTGTGTGTGACGATTCTAGGGTTTTTGAGGGGGATGAATTGATAATCTATTGTAGTGATGATAAAGGTATATAATAATTAATTAAGAGTTTTTTAAAATATATAGAAATCAGAGATGTGAAAATAACGATTTTCCAAAATTATAGAAATTTATTTTTGGTTTAGAAAAACGAAATGATTAAGCTACCTTTATTTAGGTTTTGGAAATGATTGACCCACAATCATTCATACATTAACACAATAATTACTTAGAATACTTGAATCTCTCTCTCTCTCTCTCTCTCTCTCTCTCTATATATATATATATATATATATATATATATATATATATATATATATATATATATATATATATATATATATATATATTATATATATATATATATATATATATATATATATATATATATATGAAAAAGTTCAATAGAGATCCATTATTATTCAAGTAACCAAGGAACCAATCCAAAGCGTCGGAATTTAAAGCGATCAACGGCAAAAGGAAGGGTTGTAAATTTTTATAACAGACACACATATACCGGATTATAACAAAACTCACTTCTTCTTTTTTCATTTAAATTTTTTTTAAGCCAAGTTTTTTATCGAAAAAAAAATCCAAATGTACCGTTGTTCACTATTTTTCATCCTCTTTACATAGAGATCCATGATAATATATAAAAAAATGAATATTTTTTTATTCGAAAAAAACCCACTTAATTTTTTTTTTTTTTTTTCAATATTTAAGCTTTTTTTATAAAAAAAACTAATTATACCAAAAATATTAATTTTTTGTACTCTATTAATAAACACCAACACGATTATATTAAACAAAAAAAAAAAAAAAAAAAACTCAAACAGTGTAGATTCACACTGTGAATCTAAACTGTAAATATTTCAATTTTTAACATTCACAATATGAAAACCTCGAACATTTCAGATTCATATTGTGAATCTAAGAAGGTTCACCAAAAAAAAAAAAAAAAAAAAAAAAAAAAAAAAAAAACATCGATCAGTGTAGATTCACATTGTGAATCAAAATTGTAAATATTTCAAATTTTAACATTCACAATATGAAAAAGCTCCGATTAGTTCATATTCACACTGTAAATCTGATTTATTATTATACACACTGTGAATCTGAGAAGGTTCACAATCTGAATCTGAACAGGTTTACAATATGAATCTGAATAAGTTCACAATATGAATCTGAACTGAAATATCGTTTTTTTTTTATTTATTTTTATTTTTTTATTTTTAAATATGAATATGAATCTATGTTTAAAATGTACAAAAAATATGAATTTTGATTTATTTATTAATTTTTTTCTATAAAAAATATACCTTAACTTTTTTCATTAAAAAAAATAAAATGGGTTTTTTTTCGAAAAAAAAAAAAGTTCGTTTTTTATATATCATCATGGATCTCTATGGAAAGAGGACGAAAAATCGTGAACAACGGTATATTCGGGTTTTTTTTTTTTTTTTTTTTTTTATATAAAAAACATTGCCTAAAAAAAATTTAACGAAAAAAAGTTGTGGGTTTTTTTGTAAAGAGTGAATTTTTTGGTATAATCCGGTATGGGTACGTTTAATGTAAAAATATACATCTATTTTCTTGGCTGTTGATCGTTATAATTTCTGATGTTCACGATTGATTCATTGGTTTATTGGTTAATTATGGTTGTCTATTGAACATCACCATATATATATATATATATATATATATATATATATATATATATATATATATATATATATATATATATATATATATATATATATATATATATAATTTTCCCATCTTGTTAAACTTAATAAATAATTTTGTTGGTAATATACTTAATACCCTTTACCCTTTGACCATTTTTATTATAATTTTCCCAGGTTGTTTTTTATTATAAGCTGATTCGCTCATAAATATTATTATATATAGCTATTTTGATTCGTTGTTCATGATCCATGTTAGCTATTAAAACATAAGTCCCAACAATTTTAATTGACAACTTTGTTGTTGTTTGACTTCTTCTCCGATAAATGTTCCAATATCTATTTTGAATTGATTTTTTAATTCATAAACTTGATTATATAAATTCTAAACATACTCCTTAAACTATGTGCTGTTTTTTTTCATTTAGATCTATGAAGTATTGTATTAAGTATTGTATTGTAGTGGTGGAGCTATACGAGACGTTGAAGATAGTACAACATTCCAAAAAATTGTTTTATGTATATAAAGATCGATAAATTTTGATATCGTATGAAGAAATTACGATGGTCAAAATAAAAGACCTAAACCAAACCACAAGACATACGCAACCAAACCGTCGATATTATGATGAACATAAGCATTAACAGCCCCAGACATCCTATCAATGATTGTCTCACGTATGATGTCGTGAGAAAAACTTAAAGAAATTATTCATAAGTATTGAATCAGTACAAAAATAAAAAAGTCATATTATAAAACAAAAAAATATTAATGACGAAATGTGTATAAAATTATTAAAGACTACAAAATTATTAAGAACTAAATGCGTATAAAATGAGAAGTACATTACTCTATTAAATCATTTTTTCGGTTAATCTAAAGTAGTCGGTCATAAAGACTAAATGTATACACTTTAACAAGTTGTATGAACAAAAAAAAACTCAATAACCAAATATGTAAAAATCAAAAAATATATTACATTTTTAATTCATTATCCCAAATAAATGATCGGATGACAAGAATGAAGATTAAGAAACGTAGATGATCGGATCACGCGTTATCTTCTTCCAATCATATTATTAAACACGAGTTTGATTTCTATTTGTTTATTTGCGATTGATTAAATTAGCCACTCAATAACATTTTGGCCTTCCCTACAGGCTACATTGGTACTGGAGTTTGGTTTGATTTAATGGATTGTCTCTTGCACTATGAGAACGATGATTGTATTTAGTTTTTGTAGCAAAAAAATTATCACATTTAAAATAGCTACATGTTTTGATTATTTTTATCCTAATGATTTTAGTAATTTTAATTGCTATATATTATGTTTATACCTGTCAAAGAAAAGGGTTTTTACAATTTCTAAAGAAAGACATCTATGATTTTGTTTAAAAAAAATAATATCTAAAATAAAACATATGGTGATGAAATCTTGATGGATACATCCAAATAAATTTATATTTAGTACGGAGTATAAATTTAAATTTAAGATACAATTCTTTTAACATTTAGCATATTTATTGAGCGGCTCTTGATCTTATCCTTTTTCCTATGATAAACATTCGATGCATTGATGTGTCACGTTATGTTATCTAAAACATGAAAAAGGAAATAAGAAACAGAAACGAGAGAGAATAGAAAAGAGTGTCAAATTGCAACTTAAAAAGACATCTATTTTGGAGTATTGGCCTATGGTGAAGACCTCTATATTAAATTTGAAAATTTTCAAAATCAATGTTTTAAAAACATTAATATAGAAAACGCGCTGATTAAAATAAGTATATTGTTGGATGTTGTCTTTACGAATAGCATTTGTGTTTGGATTTATCCCATGTAAAAAGAATTAACGGCGAAAGATTTTTAATAAATTAAAATAAGTATATTGTTGGACGTTGTGTTTATGAATATCATTGGTTTTGAGATGAATCTTTTATATTAGCTAACGAAAAAAATAAATATAAAAGTAAAAACTTTGAATTTATAAGAAAATAAGAAAAATAATATATATATATATATATATATATATATATATCTTTATCTTTACTACTTATAAAAGAAATCTAACTATTTCTATAAATAGATTGAATATAATAATATTATTTTTTTAAAACGTTCAAACTATTAAGCTTGAAGTACAACCCATTTATAATATAATAATATTAAAACTTTAACCCTATCATTTATCCCTAAAAATCTCGTATCAAATTAATAGAAGAATTCATTTGCAAATTGAACCCGTCAATCTCAACACTTCAGTCATTTGAAGCGGTCAATATCAACAATTTATAGAGGATCTCTTCTCTCACATTGGTAACAAGCCATCTCATAATATCTATCTTCGTAATCCCTTCAAAGTAAGAAATATACGCACACTCTCTCGAAGAACCCTAACCAGTAACCAAGACAGTATAACCACCACCACCACAGCCGCTCTGCCTCCTTCCGCCTTCAACCAACCACTATCACGACTACCGTCCTTCCTCTCACCTACGACATGAACTTTCTTTTGGAACATAATATTTTTCTTTAAAAAAATATCGTTGAAAGAAGCTATTTGTCCCCGCCGCTGTGCGCGGGTAACGGCTAGTATATATATATATATATATATATATATATATATATATATATATATATATATATATATATATATATATATATATATTGAAGAATTGTAACAGTAAACAATCATATTTTTGTCAATTTCAGCCCTTAAACTTTTGGTTTTTTGTCATTAGCCCACTTCTTTTGTTATATAATTATATTGGATTTTGAATTTTTTTTTTTTCTAAATGTTTTTAACTATTCATCAGCGATACATATTCCTTTCATCCGGTTTCTCTTTCTACGTGTTTCTCTCTATGATTCCACCTTTCTTTGTCCAATACAAAACTTCCAGATATCTAGCACCGACTTCATCTTCATCCTCCACCACTCTCCCAACTTTATTGAACGTGTCCTGTTGGGATCGATTTTGGATTTAGAGTCACCACTTCATCTTCCGATAGGTGTCCACCCACCGCATTATCTGCTTCTGATGTCCAACCATCTCATTCAATTTACCGCCCCTCCTTCTCCACATCCATGCATTTCTTTTTACTGCTATTATGCCCACCCAGTCGGAACTGGAGCATATTCATTCTCAAGCTCCAGAATTGGTCACCACCGTTGAACCGTCGAAGCTCCAAACGCCATTCCACCAGTCTTGATGACCTTCGTTTAGCTGAAAATCGATTTGATACTCGACTGTTCTTCGACTTTGTGTATACTCGATTGTTTAAATTCAACCGGCGGTCGCATCCCTTCTCTAAAATTGAACGACGGCGCCCTGGTAAGTGACAATTTATCATTTTCCTGCCGTAATTTGTCATATTCTATCCTCTATTCTGCCTAATTCTTCGTTTCTGATTTTCCTGACAAAATAAATCAATAAGATAACACATATATGAAGCAAGAACTTGTTATAATAGAAATGTTTTTTATTTTTTAAATTTAAATAAATAAACAAACGAAACTAATGATTTTAAATTTTTCATTAAAATATAAATGGATCAATGAAATTGATATCAATTTATTATTACATTTATTGTAATTATTATATTAAAATATTATATGAAATTTAATAAAATTGAAAAACTCATAAATTGATATGTGAAAAAAAAATAATTATAAATAATCATAAAATAAGATTTGATCAATTGAATGAAAGTGTGACAAGTGCACAAGTGTTTAATTCATTCCATGTAAAAAGAGTTAACGACATAATATTTTTATTATTAAGAGTAAATTGCATATAGTTTTGAATTAACCGCGAGAGATTTTTAATATTAAAGAGTAAATTACACGAACAGTGCAATGGTCCTATAGTTTTGAATAGTCTTTAAATTAAATTTTAAGACAAAATTATTAGAACGGTCCTTATGTTATGTCATAACTCGAAAAGTTAGGTCCAAAATTTTTTTAACTCATGTTAATGGTTCAAAAGTTTATTTTGTTGCGAGTTTATCCAAAATTTTCAAAACTTATTATTAAGACATATATGCTCTTGGTATTTTTCATTTTCCAATTTTTATACTAAATAAATACAAAAATATTCCACCTCCCTCTTTTTTTCTCATCAATATATCAACTGATTAACATCTCGTTCCTAAGTTCAATTTAACAAGAGAAAAGAAAGCAAAATAAGTGAAAATTAGAAGAAAATAAAAGAAAATAGTGTTCCTGCATATCATTAAAGGAATGAAGTGGAGGAAAATGGAATGATTATTTTTTCTCATAACTTTCCTTCTGATTTGGAAGAATTTGGAAAGAAAGAACAAACTAACTAATTTTTCTTCAACTTGGGAAAACAAAAGAAAATTGTGTTTTCCTTTTCTTTCTCTTGTTTTCTCTCCTGACTTGCTTTTCACTTCTTTTCTTTTCTGTTGTTAAACTCTGGAACTAAGCGTAATTCTCAATTTTAATCTCAAAAGAAACAAAATCGTGAGCAAGGTTGCGATTTCTTCTCCAGGAGATCTGGATTTTCGTAGTTTAGCAAGCCATCAGTTGGACGTCCCTAACGCAATTGGGAAGGTGATATTCCCTTCTTCTCGTTCTCATCACGGAAATAGTGAATCGGAAGGCAGCATAGCAGCGCATATAATAGAGAACCCAAGGAACTGATTATATACATGGATGTACATGGTTTATCCAAATCTGGCATCCATGAACATGATTAGTTAATGTAATTTGAAGAAAATTAGGGATTTAGAGAGATCGACTGAAGTTGTGTGATTGTTTGATGTATATGATAGTGGAGGATGAAGGATTACTGGTGGTGAGAAGCAATGGGAAGAGGAATCGTGAGGAAAATGAGAAGGAATGGTTCAAGTACCTGAGACTGGAAAGTAGATCTCCTCCGAAGTTGATGAGGAAATTTTGGTTGTCGGATATCATCGCCAGGTGCGAACACAGGGTGTTGACAGTGACGGTGGAAAAGATTCCTCCGCCACCCAAATCCATGATTGTTGAAGTAGCAATTTCTTGAAGTGGATAGTAATTTTAGGAGTGTTTATTTGGTTGTGTTTGGGGTTTAGTTCATGTATTCATCGAATTTTTTAAGAACCTCCAAACCCAGAAAACTCAAAACCTAGAAAATCAAAATCGAAATTGTAAAGCACATTCGGGTAAATTACGTTCTCGGGTGGGTATCGCTTGCAGATTCGTCAACAAAACTAGAGATTAAACTTTCATCTTTGCTCTTATGAGTAAGTTTGCAGAAAATATGTGTTTCATTCTTCAAATCATAATAATTATATATTTTAAATCTGAATCTCTTTCAAAACATCTTTGTAATACTGCCATTGTCCTAATTTGCTTTCGATTGTGTTCACTTGTTGAAGGATGTAGTTTTTTTGCTTGAGTAAACAGTCGGGTTGTGGGTTCGATGATGGTGGTGGGATTGATTTCTTCACCAAAGCATGAACACAGCAAGAAAGAAGTGTTTGGGGCTTGATTAATTGTGTGTGTTCTTTTTAGGAACAAGAGAGAGAGAGAGAGAGAGAGAGAGAGGGAGAGATGTATTTTATTTTTAATTGTTTTTAAATTATTGTAATAAAAGAAAATTTAAAATTAAAATAATAAGCAACAAATCCATCATTATAAACACTGTGGACAAAAATCGCAACAAAATCAAACTTTTTGATGACGGACGCGAGTCCAAACCTTGTTTTGGTCCAACTTGCAAGTTGCAACATCAACACAATGACCATTCTTGCAATTTTGTCATTTTTTAGCTTAGGAAAATCCTTATTGAATGATTTTACTACAACTTTGGTCCCTCTCATACAACTTTCGTCCATGTCATATACAAAGAGTATTTTATTATTGCTAATTCATTTTTCAATTTATTTATTTCATATATGATTTCGTATATAGTTATTATATCAAATGCCCCCAACTCGCTTGTTAATACTCAAGTGATTACTGTGTGACAACCCGATATTTCAACTCTTTGTAATGACCTAATAGGTCAAGTATTGTAAATGTTTTTGAGTTAATAAAATTAACTTTGATAATAAAATATCCAAAAAGTTTCTCTTTAAATTCTTCTATGTTTAAATATCCTTAAAACATGACCGTACGTAAAAAAAACGCCCAAATCCGACTTCGTATATTGAAGTTATGATTTTTCCAAGTTCAGCTTAGCAACAGACAGCTAAAAACTCGAATCGGAGATCGAGCGACATTTGGCCGGAATGACCTAAACGAGAATTGAAGGTCTCGGCAATGGTATTTCAATGGTAAAAAGTCTGGCAAAAACCGACGTCAGATAAAGAAGTTATGAATTTTTAAAAGAAATTCCTTAATCACGTCCTTTTAATAAATAAATAATAAAAATAATTTCGGAATTTGCCAACGGAATCTAAATGAAAGTTGTAGAGCGTAGTCTCACCTACGCGTGGATATAAAGACCATCAAAAACGGAGTTCGTATGAAGAAGATATGAATTTTTGAAGTTTATTAAATAAATTATATATTTATTTAATTCAAAATTCAAGCATAATCCGAAGAGGAGTCAGCGTCCTCATCCGAGGTACGCGCTGCGTACCCCTATACGCCCTGCGTACCCAAGGAACTTGGTCTCAAACCGTCCACGTCGCCCTATGCGAGGCTACCGACCCGCCCGTTCGACCCGCCGTCCCATCCGACCCGACAGACTGATCCGTCCCATCCGAAGCCGAGGCAGTCGAGGCTTCGGTCACACATGACGTACGCGTACGCGCTGCGTACGAGCGTACGCCCCGCGTACGAGGCTTCTCAGGCCCCCTATAAATAACATGCGAGGGCTTCCGAGAAAAATGCTCATTTCTCTCCTTTCTTTCACGATATTGCCTCGTTTTCCGTGCCCGTTCAAACCCGAAGCTCTGGTCTTTTTGCTCAAGTCCCGAGGGTCGATTTTACTACCGAGATTCCTGAGAATCCCGAGAAAAATCCGTTTCCCGAGACGAAACTCTGCCCGGTTTTCCATCTCGCTATCTCCAAACTTTCAAGTGAGTTCATACCCCTTAATTTACCTTTTAAAGGTTCTATAAATTCTTTTATATGCTTTCAAGGGGGGGATTACAAGTAAAACACACGAGTGTTATCGTGTGTTACATAAAGAAATCTTTTATATGCTTTTATATATTCAAATCACATGCGATTTACAAACTTTTAAGGAACTTTATATATATATATATATATATATATATATATATATATATATATATATATATATATATATATATATAACATATGTTAAAATAGCATTCTATCTTTTGAAATATAAATTTGTTGTAATGCATGTATAAACTAAACTTTCTTAGATTATACTTATCATTCTTAGATTCTACACCGAAAATCTATGCTTTCATAACAAATGATTACCTTTTCTTGGTATTTCTAAACAAACGAGACACACTTTTAGAAAACTATAATAGGTATAGTTTTACGAACAAATTTCTAACTCTTATGTACTAGAAACATGAATTTCAAGAAGCTACTTTCGTATACAAGAACAAACGTAACATTTCAACAAGTAGATCTGTTTTTATACCACGGTTTTGTGAGACACTAACTTCATGTACGTTCGAGTACACATTTCAAGTCCTGTATTATATACCAGAATCCCTTGAAGGGGGAGCATGACGTTTGTGTATAGATCTTTACGGGCTTGACAACCCGCACCCTGACTGTTAGCTGCAGTCCACCGTTTGGGGTGACAAACGTCATAACATTCCAACGCCTGAAGAACGTTGTGTATAGGCATTCCGAGTCAATAGTATGGTTATAAAACTCACATGGGGTATTAAAAATGCATTGATTTACAAGGTTTTCAAACACATTGGTTGTTTAACACTTACATACATTTTTAGAAACAAACATTGGTCTTGAGTAAAAGGCTACTTTTATACTGGTAGAGAATATAGGATTTTCTAAACACAAACAAACAAAGACAAAACATTTCATATCATACAAACATTGTCACTTAAATACTTATGAAACTCACCAGCTTAAATGCTGATCTACTCTTTCAAAACTACTTGTATGTCCTAGGAAATCAGTAATTTCAGGTATTCATTACGCTTTTGATGAAGGGATGCTGCGGCGCCAGTTTAATCTCGTATTTTGACATCATATTGTAATTGGTTTTGAACATGTAACTTTTGACAAATGTAAACTTTTAATTATATATATATATATATATATATATATATATATATATATATATATATATATATATATATATATATATATATATATATATATGATGGTTGTATTGCTTTCTTTACTATGTATTCATTTGTTAAGCTACCACATGAAGTCATCCACCCCTAACGTTTCTGCCGTTCAGGTTTGCGGGTGTGACAGATTGGTATCAGAGCAATGTTTATAGTGAACTAAGTATATCGAATCACATAAGATATACAAACTATAAATGCTTAAAGGACTAATTCTCTCTGACAAAAGGATTTTTATTTACGCCTAAGCCGCGTTTCGTGTAAACTTAAAAATGTTAGTTCACACAAGTATAAACACATGCATACAACACATTATTTTCATGGTTATTAACTATACAACAAGTATTTAGACAAGTTGGACACTACGATTGAGACTCGATATATGTAATCAGATGTGGGACAAATATAGCGTGATCAACTATATTTGCCCGATATCGGACCAATGTATATCGAGGAACGCTCGTAGTGAGAAACAAGTCAAAACTTACCAAAAACATCACAAAGATCAAACACAAGGATTTAAATACTATAGGAGTATTTGGCACATACGTTAGATAAATTAGTACTACATGTCTCAGGTTTTATTCAAATCCTATAACCCTATTCTCGTATAGTCAAATGGCTGGATTTCACCCGCATGGAGACCCCTACTACCCACAACAGGGCAACGAAGGATGGATTGAAGAGGATCCGGAAGAAGACGAAGAGCCCATTGAGTTGGATAGCGGGGACGACTCCGGGACAGACTCAGAACCGGAAATAGTCAACCCTCCACCCATTAGGAGGAACTTTCAAGGACCGACTCCCGTCTGGGGAAGTCACCTCGTCCACTGGAGCCAACAACAAAGTATACGCTCTCCCTACGGCATGTGCCGAGATTTCTACGATGTCCGAAATGGAGGTTCAGCCGATCGGGCACTCCCGGTTATGGTGGGCAAACTCGCCAATCAGTCCTACCAATCGGGGGTTCAAGCAAACCGAATCCGAGAGGTTAACGTGGAAGTACAAATCCACACGGCCGATATCAACCGCCTAGAGATGTTGCAGAATGACATCCACGTTCGCACCGAAGCATTCCAAGCACAAGCGAATGCAGCCTTCGCAAAATTGAGGGAACAACAAGCCGCCCTTGATAGGCGTCTTATGGAGTCAAAGCAATCAGATGCAGAATCGAGCTCCAAGCGCAACACACGTCGCAAGTAGTACTTGTGGAAACCTCAAATTTTGTTATAACTTAGGACCTCGGCTAAAAGTCTTTAAATTTCTCGAACTTTGTAATCGGAGACCCTTATAAGGATCAAATTTTCATAATCATTGTATCAACTTTTATATTAATATAAGTGACACTATTATTACTACGTTGAGTGTGTTCAAACCTTGAAAAGTCATCGAGAAACCAAATACTTGTTTCATACTTTCAGTCTTACAAATAACTTTCATTTTTCTATGATATCATCTATTGTTGAACCATGGCAATTTGGTTCATGAGACACATTCATTTGTCACTTATTCTTATCCACATCATCATCTTTTAAACGTATAGTTAAAGATGCCGCCATGCAGGAATACAAGGCGTAACCCTATCAATGAAACACCGATACCACCACCTTCACCTTCACCTCCTCAATTTGATGCTGTCATGTTCCAAGCAGCAGTCACCGCAGCGGTAGCAGCTGCCATGTCACAAATGAATAACTCGAGTACCAATGACTCGAGAGCTGGCACACACCTTTCTAACCATGGCGAGAGTCATGGGCAACCCCGA